TGACGTGACATGTGGCCAAGTATGGTGACCCATACTTGGAATTAGTGCTCTGCATTTTAACCCATCCAAAGTGCACACACACAGCAGTGAACACACACACCGTGAACACACACCCGGAGCAGTGGGCAGCCATTTTTTTTGCTGCGGTGCCCGGGGTGTGTGTGTGTGTGTACACATACACACACAGTATAGAAAATCCAATGGTGTTGTCATTTTATGGACAAAAAAAAACACTGACATTTTCATTCAAAATATCTTTTGTATTGTATTCCACAGAAGAAAGTCATATAGGTGAGTAAATGATGACAGAATATTAATTCACACACTTGCATATTCACACAGAGCAAGAAACACAAAACTAGAATGCTTCCATTATAATCCAGGAAGCTGACTGCACTGCAAGTGCGTTGTGTAGCACCATGTGCTTTTAGTGGTTGATGGTGGCTTCAGCTGAGTGGAGCGTTTTTATTGTGTTGAGAATGAATAAAACCATACAGAAGAGTTCAGACACTGTCCCCCTACTTTCAGCCATAAATTATAAATTTTCGGTAAGCTCCAGAGAAAGAACGAGTCGAGGAAAGGAGGGTTGCGCTGTGCTCCTCAGCCGTGCCTCTCTTCTTATCTCTCTTCTGCTCAATCACGCTCCCTCTTCCTTTATTTTTCTTTCTATACAGCCTCTCTCTTCTGTTAGTGAGGCAGAAAGTAGTTGTAGATGAGTGGAGTGGCTTGAATAATGATCAGTGCTTTCTGTTGAGAGATTAGATGCAGGTAGATTGATGTCTGTGTGCTGTTGAATGCAGGAGAGATGTGTCATTTGTTTTTGTTTTTTTGTTTTCTTTTTCTTTTTGTCCTCCCCTTCTCTTTCTGTTGTGTTCTTGTGTATTTTCATTTATTCATCATGTATTATTTTAAAAGCACCAAAATATACAATGAGATTCATGACTCGCAACAGTTTCTCTCCAGTGAGAATACGTCAGCGCTGTAGATCGCACTGAAACATGAATGCGTGGATGTGTGTGCATGTAAATATGTCCTTTCTCAATGGCGTCTGGGGACTGACTCAATCGTAGAGCAGAATTACAATCTCAGGTCTTTGATTTCAGCAGGCGGCACATTGCTGCCACCTGATTCATTCCTTCAGGTCTGTACATTTGGATCAGAATCGTGAAGGCCAAAGCCATAAAAGTGTGGAGATGTTTTCAGAAATAAACAACATTTACCTGGTGGATGTTGTGGTAGAAATCAACATCTGTGTATTTCAGATCAATAAATCCAGTGGCTGTAATGAGATTAGCTCTCAAACATGCATGTTTCTGAACCTGATCTCTTGTCTGCTGTAGAGAAACTGCTCTGTTGGCATTGGCAGTGGGGTGTCTGAACCTTTTCGCTCAGAGTAATTGGACCGGGCCGCCAGTTGAGCTCCATATCTCAGATTTTCTGCCTGAAGCTGTGCTCCAGAAATTCTCACAGGTACAGTACCATGATGCGCCTGTGATTACATGCACGACCAGTGTCATTGTCTGTAATAATTTGGGATGCACCAATGTATCGTTCAATAATCGTATCTGCTGATAAAAGCAATTATTTGTCATCAGCCGATTGTTTAAAAACAGCCAATGATCAGGGTTATTTCTTTGATTATTTCTTGTCAATCAAAAGGAGGCAGAGAAGCATGTCAGACTGCAACTTGCGTGAAGAAAATGTTTTGTCGAATTTAGGGCAGTCCAGGTTAAATCAATAATAACGTATTAACAAAGCACCATTAACACAAGTTCTATTTGACCCTGTGAACCACCCGAGATTCAAGCCAGGGTTGCCAGGTCCACGGTTTTCCTTTCGCAAAACATTATTTGTAATGCACCTCCAATCCAATTATCACAAAGAGCTTTGCACTTTATTACTTCCAATAAGAAACAAAGTCTCAGCTTTCAAATCCTGTACATTTTATCACAAAATTCAAACAATAAATGCCATTTTGATGCTCTAAAATGTGGCGTGACAGTTCAAGCGGCAGCACAGAGCTTGTTTCTTTCACTTTTAATACAAGTTATAGTGCAAAATAAACATGAATGAACATCAGTGTTGAAAGATACAGTACAATTAAGTTCCTCAAGAAAGTTATCCGCTGTTCACAGTTGGTTAGTTAGCTAAAAAATACATTAGAGGGAGCTTATTTACTGTTAATTATATCTGTATGTTTGAATAAATCTGTTATGAAAACGTGCAATTGAGTTGTATACAGACATTTTTATTTGAGTGACCATTATATCCGAAAACAAATAGCATTTAATATAATAGTGTTGTTCATTTTAACCTCTAATGTTCCAAATGAGAGGGTTTTCTGTGTAGTTTGCAGCATTAGTTGAGAGATTTTTTTTCCTTAAGAAAACCAGACTAACAGCAGATATTATTCTGAATAATTGGCATCCGTATCAGCTGAGAAATTTCGTATCGATGCATCTCTAGTAATAAGTAATGTATTCTGATATTTTATAGATTTATTTTTATTTGATTTTTTTTATTATCTACTTGAGCTCAGGGATGATTTTTTTTGTGCGTTTGTGCATTCTTTGTCTTAACCCTTCGGGTTAAGCAGTATTTTGTTAATATCAGCACAGTTTTAATGAGTGATAAAATGACTAAATGCTCATGTGAAATGATGTGATATGTGTGTGGGATGTTAGTGTGTATGATGGATGGAATGGAAAGAGATGGCAACTCTGTGAGGTCAGTGCTCTGGATAATTAGTGTGTCGAGGGCTGCAGGGTTGCTAATGAAAACTCTTAGGGCTCCTAATTATGCAGAGGTGAAGAGATTCTTCTCCCTAATGCCCCACGGAGGCCTCGTAGATCCCTGGAGAGGCACTGTATGTGTGTAACACTTTCTGCTGTCTCACACCTTTCTAAAGCTGCTGATTTATCAGCCTTGTCCTAGAGAGCACAAGCCCTCTTAATTAGACTGAGAGCAGCACACTGGGAGAGAGATGGATGGACTGAAGACACTTACCATCAGTAGGGCGTGAATATAAAACTCATAAAATGAATAAAGAAATGTAACTAAAAACCTCTTTAAATTTTGTTCTGTTTTATTTTGTTCTGTTTTTGACTTTGTTACTAAAATGTGCCATGATTAAATGCAGTTTAAACAACAAATTTGTGTTATTTTATAGTGCTAAACTAAAATATATTAATTTAATCTTGTGCAAATTTAATAATTAAAAAAAACTACAGAATTTGTAAAAAGTTTGCAAATTAACTTTGACTTAGTAGAAACTGCCTAGTTTGAGACTGCTTAATTTTGTAGTTGCTTTTTTAATAAACTTGAAATGTCTTATTTCCCATTAATTGAATACTTTTTCTTAAATTTTTAGGAAAAGTGTTTACATTTTCTCCGTTTCATCTCCCCCCACCCTCTCTCTCTCTCTCTCTCACACACAGCCTGCGGCCCTGAACATGGCTGTGTTATCCAGTCTTCAGCTGGATGGAGAGTCTGTCTATAGTCTAGTGTCCAACCCCCTCCTGCTGCTGCTGACCAGAGTCATATTCATCAACTGTGGCACCAAACTGGAGACCCTTCAGGTGAGATACACAATCACTTTTTGTACCACTGCAAGAATTCAGTAGAATTCACCTTGGTTTGCAATTAAGTGTGTGTGAGAGAGATATATGTGGCTCTCATGCATTCAAACGCAAGATAAAGTCTTGAGTCTCACTGTTTTCTCTCTCAAAGCAGTATAGTATAGCCTTAATCTTTTGCAGTTATTTTGGTTTATAAAATGATAAATTAAACTGCTTATTTTCCCAGCAGGGCCTGCACTCTCTTACAGTATTTTAACTGTGATGAAGCCATTACACACACTGTACCATGTGTCTTTTTTTCTTTCTCTGAATATTTATGTGGTAAGACAGGCGTTACTAATGCATTTATATATTTATTATTTCTCCTTGTACAACTACAAGCACAGGGATGGAAATATTTCTGCTGCGATTACTTGAGCGAAAGAGAGGCGCAGCATGTCACGCACCCCCCATGCCTCATGTTCCAGAACGTTATTTCATTATTGCAAGAACAAACAAAGTACCATTAGTAATAATTCAATTCCTTACCCACTTATAGTCAACCGTTTTTAAACACTCCTGTGTGTTTTTGCGTGCGCGCTCTGGTTTCGTATTACAAAACCACAAGTTTACTTACAACGTGTTTTTGCGGCGTTGAGTATTGCAGCCAATCACAGGCTTCGATGTTGAAAGCAACGGCCAATCAGTGGTGTTTACTGTAGGTTAGGCAGAATCCGCTCTTAACTCATTTTTGTTTTTGCAAGTTTACAGAGTTATTCACGCTCGCAGATCTACCTGTTATAACGAGAGTGAGAGAGAGAAAGCATACACATGGTGTAAATAAGAGATTGATTGTGTAGTTATTCATTGATTATATCAGGAGTTTTCGTGTGAGTAAGCTCGCTATCAGGAGAGCGCCCTTTGCTCGGTTTCTCTATATAATCCATTGACAATTTGAAGAAAAGTTTTGTTTGTCTAAGAGGACAGAATGTCCATGCATACTGTTTCAGGAGTGACAAATGCGAGTGTAAAAAATTATGCGAGTGAATACGCTAAATTGTTTCGCCAGTCATTGCTATGATTGACAGTGATAACTGTAATACTGGGCGGAATGAACTTTCTACTGTAGAGTAAATTCAGGGTACAAAACTACAACAGCAACAAGTCTGTGTTGCCTGAATATATTTGGCAGTTTCTACAGTTAAAGATAAAACTTAAAATATTCTTTTTGATGCGTCCTTTTTAAGGCAGTGTTTAAAAAATGTAGTTTTAAAATTAAATCTAAAAATATTTCAAAATATTTAATGCATTATTATTTTATTGTACTTGCTATACTACTTCAGTACAGTACTAAAATTTGTTATAATAGTCATTTTATAATAAATTCAAAATCAAGACATGAAAACTAGGGAGTTGAAATGGCAGCTGAGCTGATGAATGATTCTCTGCTTCCATCTACTGGATATAATGGTAATTTCATGTGATTGTCATCTTAAAAGTTTTTGTTTTCCACCAGGATTTTTGTCACATTTTTTTCATGTCGTCTCCACGAATGAAGAGTGAATCTTTACTTTCTGCGGCTTTCTCACCTTTTTCACCCATGATGAGTTTGCATCCCTGGAGTTTGTTTGCGCAAACTTTATTTTTAGACACATTGCAGATAACATACACCTTACAATGTGGTTCCATTCGTCCTTGGCTATGTAACTGAGGGAAAGTGGACCACATTTACTCTCCAATCACACTAAATAAATGTTGCTTATCTAGAACAGATGAACTAACAGTATGTTCTGTTAGGAAATTACAGTTTTTTTTTTGTTGTTGTTTTTTTTTACAGTTCATTTCGTCAACAAACTTAAATGTCCATTTATAGGGAGTACCTTGCTCAAAGTGAATGTGTATATACTGTACACTACTGTTCAAGCTTAGGGTTAGTAAGGTTGTGTTGTGTGTTTGTGAAAAAAAATTATTTTATTCAGCAAGGACCCATTAAATTGATTAAAAAATACAGTAAAGACATTTATTATTTACATTTACATGACATTTATTTATTATGTTGCTAAAGTTTTTTTATTTTGAATAAATGTTGTTCTTTGAAATTTCTAATAATTAAAGTATCCTGACACACTATTTTCCTATTTAATGCTGTAAAGTTGCTTTGACACAATCTGTATTGTTAAAAGCACTATATAAATAAAGGTGACTTGACTTGACTTGGAAAAAAAAAATAGGTTTCTACAATATTAAGCAGCAAACCGCTGCCACTATATAAATAAAGGTGACTTGACTTGACTTGGAAAAAAAAAAAAGGTTTCTACAATATTAAGCAGCAAACCGCTGCAAATTATTTCTGAAGGATCATGTGACATTGAAGACTAGAGTAATGGCTGCTGAAAATTCTGTTTGCCATCACAGGAATACATTTACATTAAAAAATATCTTAACATTTTTTAAATGCTATTTTAAATTGAAATATTTCACACATTTTTTTGATCAAATAAATGCAGTCCTTCACTTAAGAGACATCTTTCAAAAACATGAATATTACCAACCACAAACGTTTGAATTCTAGCGTAAATGTAACTTGTGTTCTTGTCTCTCTGTTTGCATGTTTGTAAATAGCTGCTGCCCTGGTGGACACTGCGATATGTCAGTCTGCATCAGCAGATACTAGAGGAGAGATCCCCACAGCTCTTCAGCCTCATGCTCGGCTGCATCGAGAAAGGCAAGAAAACACGCACACACTGTTGTGTAGTTCTTTTTTACCTGAGAGAGCAGTGCAGAACCAAATAGAGTTCTGGAAGTAGAAACTCCATTCCAAATAATTCCCTTTTCTTCAAAGAGGAGTTGATTTTTAGAGCTAATGTAACTCTTTCAAGATAGACCAGTTATGAACTACAAAGATCATGCTTCTGAGTTGTTTCATTTCCAAATTCCCAGGGAAGTCCTACATTACTAATAATCCTGAAGTGAGATCCACCAATCAGAGAATTTGCTGTTGCTGTGAAACAACACTATGGTTTTTTTTCTTCCAATTTTCAAATACGTTTTTGCATCAAACCGAATGTTGAGATTAATCTCAGGTTGGTTTGACTCGGGTCTTAATGATTTTTTGTTTTAAATGCATGATTAAGCATTTATAGGAATAAAAATTAGGGATTGAAATACAAAGGTATAATAGCTTAGCATGGCAAAGCAGTCAGCAATCATCAATGGCAGTTTTTTTTTGGACCTTGTATCTATTGGAATATAATTTTTAAACTGACTTCAAACTGGGGTCCTTGGGGGAAATTGGAATCCAAAGTGTTTAACAGGATTTCAGATCCCAGCGCTGCTTCAGATTTCTTCACAGCTCAGGTCTTGATGTCACTTCAGCTGCTGAAGGCACATGTCAGCAACGCGAGATGCTCTTTAGCGGAGAGATGACAAAGCTGTCAGCTCTTATTAAGTGGGTCATTATGAAGCTTATGAAGCTGATGTCAACTCAGGGGCGACGTTGAGATTCAGGCTGTGTGTGTGTTTTGGAGTTGTGTGTGTTTATTTCTCTGCGGTGACAGTGACAGCGTTAGTATGAGCCGATGATGTCAGCACTTAATGTTTGTGTGTGAAATAGAGATGCAGTGACACACAAAAGGTGGAGTAACTTTGAGGTTTCACAATGCTTGTGATCTGAGTGTGTTGGAACAGATTTTGCTTTCTGTAGAGCAAACCTCCTCACAATGATAGTAAAATGTGAACATTGTGAAAAAGTGAATGTGCATTATGGGTCCCACCCAACGGTTCCCATGATAACCACTTCCATCAGGATTAACAAGAGAAGAGTTCTGTAGCTTGACCTTATGAACTTAAACATAATACAGGTTTCTGCTTTATTGTGCCAATTCTGGTATATTTCAGTGTGCCATTGAAAATCCTGTAAAGTGTGCATTTCCCTTTGGGCTAATTCATTACTTCTGTTCATTTGTTGTTCGTTTCAGAAGGATTTGGATTTTTAGGAACAGGATTTCACACTCATCAGGATTATGTTACCTCTGACATAACATAACATTGACACCCTTGTGTCAGACGGCCCTCCTTCAACCCTCACACACAGTCAGATTTAATGACATTAAATATGGATGTGTATATGAATTTACATTTGTCAAAGTTTGTGGTCAGTAAGATCTTTTTGGTTTACTTGTTTGTTTTTTTTCTGTTGCAAATAAATCTTGTTCTTTTGAACTTTCTATTCATCAAAGAATCCTTAAAAATGTATAAGTTTCCACAAACATATTAACCAGCATACCTGTTTTCAAAATTGATAAAAATAAGAAATGTTTCTTGAGCACCAAATCGGCATAATAGAATGATTTTTGAAAATTCAGCTTTGCCATCACAGGAATACATTATATTAACATATGAAATGAGTATGTAATATGGTATTCTATACAAGCACCATGCAACGGTCATCTTCTATAAATATATATATATATATGTATATGTATATGTATATGTATATATGTGTGTA